CTGGTGGTGCCCCACATTTAGGAAGCAGTACCGTTGATACTGTTCCACGTTTCATGTTCATCCGGAAACAGGTGTGCAGGTGTGCTTGAGTCTGAGGACAGGAGACGCACATTCGGGGTTGCTAAACCTCCGACTGGTCTGAGAAAGAGGAAAGACAGATTGCCAATGCCAGTGGACATCACCACAGACCTTGCCAACCATGGAAGGGGTAATATAAGTCAATTTAGTAACTCAAGTGACACAAATATTCTTGAAGCAACAAAAATTAATAATATTTACTCAAGAAGAAATAGAGAATCTATATAGTCCTGTATCTAAAATATTCTTGCAAGGAAAACCTCTGGCCAAGATGGCTTCACTGAAGTCTTCATTGAGTATTTAGGGAACAAAATACCAACCCTGCACAATTTTTAATTTTATTTGTAAAAGTTTTGTCCCTGGTAAAGGATTTCAGACATTAGAGAAGAGGTTGGTCAAGGCTGTTTTGGGCAGGGCTGAGTTTCAGATCCCCAAAGTCCCCCTCAGAGGCTCCTGCCTTTTGTAGCCTCTTGAGGGAGGTGAGGAGGCAGGGGCACGGGCCCTGGGTGTGGAGACCCAGCTGTGGTTGGTAGTGTAGGACTGCCTCCAGGAGCGGGCAGGTGGGCTGTGGGAAGGACCCCTGTGCAGGTCATGCCTCTCCCACTCTGTGGCCACCAGCACACCTCGGGGTTTGACTCTTCTGGTGGTGGTGGAGACTAGCAGCTAAACTCAGCAAGAGTTGAGGAAGGTGGGGCCAGCGGCACTGTGGTGTAGAAGGCTAGGCCTCTGCTTGCAGTGCCACTATCCCATATGGTTGCCAGTTCAAGTCCTGGCTGCTCCACTTCTGATCCAGCTCCTTGCCAATGTGCCTGGGAAAGCAGCAGAAGATGGCCCAAGTGCTTGGGCCCTTGCACTCATGTGGGAGACCCGGAAAAATTTCTGGCTTTGGCCTGGCCCAGCACTAGCTGTTGTAGCCATTTGGGGAGTGAGCCAGCAGTATCTTGGCCTTTGAAATAAATTAGTATTTTCTTTAAAAAAAAAAAAAAAAAGAGAGTTGAGGGAGGTTTGTGTAGCCAAAGTCTAGGCGTGGCCTTGAGGAGGCACAAGAGATGCCTACACTGAGAGGCCTGGCTGTGAACAGGAATAACCAGTGGCCTGCATCACAGGCTCTGATGTGCACTGGGCCCACTGCCCAGGAATCTCAGAAGGCTGCCCTTGGGGAGACAGCCTTTGAGCTGCTCTCTAGGAGTGGCCAGACAGTGGGCTGTATAAGGGGGTTATTAGGGTGGATGTTTCAGGATTTGAGACAAATCAGGGTGTTCTGGACAGAAGCCAGTGTGAAGAGTAAGGGGGTGGGGTGCTGCACCCTCAGCCCAGGCATGTAGGGTTGAGAATGACTTGTTCTGGGGTGAGGGGACCCAGTAAGAGCTTTGAGGGGGTAGAGTGTGATATGGGTAGGTAAGATGGAGAGAGACTTAGAGGAAAGAGGAAGACATGCAGAGCTGTATTCTCTGGAGTAGAGGGGCTAGCTGGCAAGGAGGGAGGGGATTTGATGGGGACTAAGTTGCTGTGGGGACCTGAGGAGGAGGGAAGTAGTGGAGAAGAGGGCTCGGAGGTGTGGGGTTTGGGAGGTGTGGAGGGAATCTGGTTTCGGGGTCTCAGGATGGGCCAGGTGCCTCGGCTCCCGGGAGGCTGTGCAGCAGTGCCTGCCTTGCTTCCCTGCTGGTGTGCACTGGGGCCTGGGCTGGGGCTGAGCCATGTGAGTGCACAGGAAAGGCGGCTGAGATCAGAGCTCTTTTTAGAAATGTGGTGCCACCCTTGATAGGCCATCTCTTGACTCACTGGCAAGAATGCACGGCCAGGATTGGGAGGACCTTGATCCTGAGCTGCAGCCACCACCGGCAGATTCTGTGACGTGGAGCAGATCTTTTCCTTTCCTGAGTTTCCTCCTTGGTTGACTTGAGGCCCTTGGATAGGCTGTCCTGGGAGCTCTCCTCAGAAGAAAGGTGGGCTTCAGGGCTGGTCTGCACCTGCTGCCACCCTCCCAGGCCTGGTAACCTGGACCAGGATCTCCCAGGAGCTGTTTTTCTTGCTGTTTTTGCACAACTCACACTGGCCTCTCACCTGAACACCCTGACACCCAACCTTGTGTCTCACATGCACTCTTGCAGCTTGTCAAGCAGTGTGTCTGTGAACCACTCTCTGACAGGAAGGCAGGAACGCCCCTCGTCCTGTCACAGGTGCACATCTTTCTCTCTTTGCACGCTTTCCCAGGCTGCCTGCTGAGCTGGTGCCGCACCCTGCACACCAAACTGTCTAGCATTTTTTTTTTAAATGTCGTTTAAACAGTTGGGTGTTTTTTCACTTATTAATGAATAACTTGGCCTTTGCCAAGGCACTTGAGCATTCCTAGGAGGGTGGTGGCAGTGGTGGGGGTGAGTGTGACCTTGTTCAAGGGCTGGGAAGGGGCCTGGAATTTGCTGTGGCTGATCCCTTTCCTGCAGTTGCTGCCCTCTTCTGCCAGGTGGTCAGGTTAACAGAGGCCCTACAGAAAAAAGCCTTCCTGTGGAGGTGGGGGCCTGGCAGCCCTTGCTGCTCCTCTACCTCTGTCTTAATCACCATGGGCACCCCCCGCCACTGAGGCAGGCACCTCTGGCCTTCAGGGAGTCTGCTGGCTGGTGGTGGAAGCAGACTCTGTTGAATGGTCCAGCTTTTGGCTTCTTCCATGGGCATCCTGTATCAAGGGAGGGTGCGTCAGAAGGCCCGCGCAAGTCCCAGCAGCGTGGGAGCCACACAGAGAGGCCGAACTGCTCTCTCAGCCAAGCAACGGTACTCTGCTCTTCCTTCCCTCTTGGGTCTCACCAGCCGTGTGTCTGCGTCCCCAACCTGCCTTGCTGGGCAGAAGTCAGCAGCCTCTCCCCAGACCTCTGGCTCCCACTGCCTCAGAATGCCAGCTAGAGCCCTCTGTCATGGGCCCCTGCCTGCCTGGCAACCTTACCTGACACTCAGCTTCACCCCCTGCCACTCCAACCCGTGTGGGTTCTTCAGCTCGAGCCATGCTCCCTGCTCCCACCCTGCCCATCCCATCTTCAGTTCTGTAACACTTGTACTCTGCCTGCCCCGCCAAGAACTGCTGTCACTGGATCAGTTGTTTTGTTCCTGCTGCCTCATCCCTGTGAGACTGGGCAGCCGGGGATGAGGGGAGAACCTTGCCCTCTCCACATTGCAGGAGGCTTTCTCAGGCCGACCTCCAGCCTGGTTTGAGGGTCTCCACCCCCAAAGGGAGGTTGTGTGGCCAACAAATGGCAGGGTTTTTACTGGCGAGCAAATGCCACTCCAGGAAGGCAGTTGTCAGGCGTGCACAGCTTCCAGCAGGCATAGTCCCAGCAGCTGTTTACTTAGAGTTTTTATGTAGCACCAGCTTGTCCTTGTATCTGCCACAGCAGGTGGCCTGAGGAAGGAGCTGACGGATACCTCCTCAGAACTGACCGTCCCGGCTGACCAGAGGCTGCCTGCAATGCAGTGAGGGGATGGACGCCTTCTAGAGCGGCAACCCTGGCATGCAGGGAGACCCCGATGGCTCTGGCCGGGGCCTCACAGTCCACGTGGGGTGCTGCGGCGCTGTCACATGCATTTGAATGCACAAGTGTACGTACATGCCCTGCAGGACAGTTTGCCCACAGGACAGGCTGATGCAGTGACGATGAGAATATAGAGAGGGTGAAAGCAAGCCTAGGAGCGGCATTGTCTGAGGCAGGTGGAAGCAGCACGGCAGTTTCCTTCTGTTGTGGCCCTTGGTGCCCCTGGAAGATACACCTGGAAGGTATACCATGTCAAGGCTGAGATGCACATGATTTCTCTAGACTTAAAACAAAAAATGCAGGAGCTGGAAGGAACCAGATTTAGCGGAAATGATTTTTCTCATAGAAACTGTGATTCCTCACACCTCTGTCTCTCTGAGCGTAATGGGTTTTCAGACTGCTTGTGGAAAATGTGTATAATGCAAAAGCTATGTGTGGACTTCAGATTTTTTCCACCAAAATAAACTTATCTTTCAACTTAATTTTTCCATGGTCCTTTTGAAATAGCTTTTGTACATTGCAAGCCTGGGCAGTGAGTTTTGTTTCAAGCCTGATCCTGCATTGAATTATGTTATTCCCAAAGAAAACCAAGTAGATATTTCCCGAGAGGTACTTGGCTCTGTAGGAAGTCAGGTCAAGCTCTTCCTCCTGTCCTGGTTGCTGACTGTCCTCCCCACCCCCAGCCCACACCTTGCACCTCTCTCAGCTCAGCAGGTAGATCCATCCAGACCCATGAAGGTGGCTGGTGGCTGCAGCCCTACCAGCTCCATTTCTCACCACTGAAGTCTTCCAGCTCTTCTGCTGGTCTCCTCTGAGGGCCACCATGTGCCTGGGAGTGGGCTGCATTAGGAATTTTTTTTTTTTTTTTGACAGGCAGAGTGGACAGTGAGAGAGACAGAGAGAAAGGTCTTCCTTTTGCCGTTGGTTCACCCTCCAGTGGCCGCCGCGGCCGGCGCACCGCGCTGATCCGATGGCAGGAGCCAGGTACTTATCCTGGTCTCCCATGGGGTGCAGGGCCCAAGCACTTGGGCCATCCTCCACTGCACTCCCTGGCCACAGCAGAGAGCTGGCCTGGAAGAGGGGCAACCGGGACAGAATCTGGCGCCCCGACCGGGACTAGAACCCGGTGTGCCGGCGCCGCAAGGCGGAGGATTAGCCTAGTGAGCCGCAGCGCCGGCCTGCATTAGGAATTTTTAAATTTGAGGTGAGAAGTGAGGCTGTAGTGCTGCCCCTGTCAGAAGCAACAGGCATGTGCCCCACGCAGAGGCTGGAGCACCAAGCTGGTCCTTGCCAGGGTGTCTGGCTCCTGAAAATTCCTGTTACCCCTTAACTTCCCCAGGCACTGTTGACTGGACCCAAGAGCGTTCATGTGAGCAGGTGGCTTTCTCCTTTTCTTTGCAGGACAAGGAAGAGGGGGAGCCAAAAACCAAGCAGCTTAGAGAAGAGGAGGAGGAAGGCGAGAAGCACAGGTAACCTGTGTGCAACTCTGGGTGCGCAGCACTCTGCTGCTCTGTCCTCCAGCACCCACTGGTCTCCAGGTCTCTACATCCTCCCAGCCCCGTGTTCAGACTCCACCTGCTTCCTGTCTCTCCCTCCCCTGGCTCCCTGCTCAGACAGGAACTTCTCAGCCTTCTCACTAGTTGGGCCTTCTCTGCATGTCCATTAGCTGTCTGGCAGATGTTTGCATTCTCCATCTGACCCTCCCATTCTGCCTTTGCACTCTACTCACACTCCTTCGACGTCTCAGGCTTCATGTAGAGCTCAGCTCAAAGGCCTCCTCTTTTTCCTCTGTGTTTCCCCCACCTCCGGCTTCATATCCTTCTCTAATATTAATCATTTTTTTGCCAAAGACCGGTGTTGGGTTGAGTCAACCAAAGTCGCCCAAACAGTGTGTGCACTTCTCCCTCCCTCACGGTGGCAGGTTCCCCAGAGCGCCCTGACCTGCTTTGCATCAGATATGCTGGGAACTGTTTGCAGGAGCAAGTGTTAGGGCTCGGAGAGCAGGGAGGCTGATCCTCAAGCTGGGAGAGCCTTCAGATCTGACTGGCATTCCTGAGCCCGAGTCCTAGTGGTCCCAGACTCCCTCCTGCAGCCAGCTCTGAGCCAAAGCTCTCTGCCTGGGACCAGACTGTGTCTGTAGGGGCAGCTGGCCTTGATTTCCTCCGCCCTGAGCAACAGCTGTGTCCCAGGAAGCAGAAACCCTTCCCTTTATATGCAGCTGAGTCTGGAAAGGCACTCCTGAGATGTTTATGGATCAGGAACAGACTCCAGAGATCCCTGGGCCACAGTCCTGGTCCCAGCCTCCTTTACCTCTGGGGAGATAAGGGTGACCTCTGCACTCAGTGACCAGCAAGCGTCTCGGCTTGCCCTGCCCCTGAGAGTAGAGAACAGCCAGCTTCAGTTACCTGGTTTGAACGTAGGTACAGATGGAAGCCCTGTAGGCACCAGCCCTTTTAAAGTGCCCTGGGAGGAATGCGGTGCCTGCTCTGGGCTGCCTGCAGCCAGGGCCTCATGGAGAAAATGCTTCTCGAGTTGAAGCAGGGGTCTGGAGGGTAGAATTTGGTTAGCAAAGACCCAGTGCTATGAACCTGCAGTGTGAACTGGTGGGTAATGTAACCTCTTACTGGGGAGGTATGCACAGGCATCACTCTACCCCCTTGACCCCTACTCCTAAGCCTTGCCCTATCTAGGGAGTGACACAAGGGTGGTTAGAAAGATCTGTACCTGGGCCAGCGCTGCGGCTCACTAGGCTAATCTAATCCTCGGCCTGCGGCGCCGGCACCCCAGGTTCTAGTCCCAGTTGGGACGCCGGATTCTGTCCCAGTTGCTCCTCTTCCAGTCCAGCTCTCTGCTGTGGCCCGGGAGTGCATGGAGGATGGCCCAGGTGCTTGGGCCCTGCACCGCATGGGAGACCAGGAGGAGGCACCTGGCTCCTGACTTTGGATCAGCGCAGCGCACTGGCCATAGCAGCCATTTGGGGGGTAAACTAACGGAAGGAAGACCTTTCTCTCTGTCTCTCTCTCACTGTCTACCTCTGCCTGTCAAAAAAATAAAAAGAAAAAGAAAAAGAAAAAGAAAGAAAAGAAAGAACTGTACCTGAAACCTGGGCCCAGCTTGGGAGCTCCTGTGATCCAGCTGCCCACTTTCCTTCTCCCTGGTGCCTTCTCTCACACCTTGATCCAGAGTCCTCCCTGAACCGCCCCAGCCCACATGGCCACCCAGCTGTGACCTCTAACCACCAAATGACCCAGGGCCTGCTGCCTGTGAGCACCTGGCTTCAGCTTCCTGCATGCTGCTGTCAGCTGATTCTCTTGCCCCGGTTACCCTCCAGGTCTCAGCGTCCCTCAGAGACCTAGTGGCCCTGTAGGCACTGCACAGACTCTTGGCCGGTGGCCAGTTCTACTGATTGGTGTAGCTGGTTCATCAGGCACTTTTTTTTTTTTTTTTGACAGGCAGAGTGGACAGTGAGAGAGAGAGACAGAGAGAAAGGTCTTCCTTTGCCGTTGGTTCACCCTCCAATGGCCGCCGCGGCCGGCGCGCTGCGGCCGGCGCACCGCGCTGATCCGATGGCAGGAGCCAGGAGCCAGGTGCTTTCCCTGGTCTCCCATGGGGTGCAGGGCCCAAGCACCTGGGCCATCCTCCACTGCACTCCCTGGCCACAGCAGAGGGCTGGCCTGGAAGAGGGGCAACCGGGACAGAATCCGGCGCCCCGACCGGGACTAGAACCCGGTGTGCCGGCGCCGCTAGGCGGAGGATTAGCCTAGTGAGCCGCGGCGCCGGCCCATCAGGCACATTTTTAATAACTGTGAAGCAATTCTTGGTTTAGCAACAGGCCCTGAAATTACAGAATTTAGGCAAATGGTGCAAGCTCTGGATTTGGGATTCAATCTCAGGTTTGAGGCCAGGTCCTGCCAGTCATTAGCCCTCTGAGCCTGGCCCAGTCACATGCCCTCGGTCACCCTTAATATCTTCAACTGAAAGACGGGTAGAAGACTAGAACTTGTTTCACCTAATGACTAAAGCAAATGCCACAGCTGCTTTCCCACCAGGGCTGGGGCTCTGGGGGAGAAGGAAGACTCTGGGCGACTTTACTGAGAGCGCAGTGAACTTTCATGTGGAAAACACGGAGGCAGATGGATGAGAGTAGAAATAAGCATATGTAACTGGGGACCCATCCTTGGAGATGGGTAGAGAGGCCTCATTTTGCAGATGCGGTTGTCTAACCTAGGAAGTGGGAAGACCCATCATCATGTTGGAGGCAGGTACCCCAGGGCCCACTCCTCTTCAGCCATCTGAAGTCACCCACCTGCTCCTGCCCCACTGCCCAAGGAGACCTTTTTCTAACTCTTTTGCCTTTCACTATAAATTAATGATCCACTTTTTTAAAAACATGCTGGGATTTTGATTACAGTTGCCTTGAATCTACAGATCACACAGTTCCTTTGAAAATGTTTAGTACTCTCCTTGGGTAAATCCTGCCCAATCCCCATCTGATGGGAGTGGGCCCCAGCAGATTGACAAGCCCAGGCCATACCTGGCCGTCTGGGGAGGCAAGAAGTGTTCCCACCTCCAGGAGAGCCCCTGCTTCCCAGAGCCATCCTTCTGTAGCTAACTCTGGTGCCAGTGACTCGTGCCTAAGGGAGCCCCTGTCCTCCAGCCGCTTGTTCACTGCCTAAGAAGAGGTGCCCCAGAAGGCCGACCTGCAGAGAGGGCCCTCTTGTCAGCTGCTGTTGTTTTTTTAAGTGCTCAGTCACTTCCTGCTGGCAGGGTGCCTGATGTGAGCCCTAGAGGCCCTGCCTTGTGGGAGGGGCTGTTGGGTTGTGGCTGCGTGGAGAGGAGAGATGTTGTACACTCTATGTGGCGTAGGAGGAGGGGTGTGTGTCTTGTCAAGTACCTGACGTACGGAGCAAGTTCCAAGCCCCCAACCCCCACAACTGCCACCTCTCTGGCTTTGGAGAGAGATCTACGCCCAGCTGGGGCAGTTGGTCACCTTGAGGGACAGTGGTTTGTCCTAGGGTGGGTAACACATATTGCAAAAGAAACCAGGACACTGGCCTTCCTTCTTCAGGGATGGAAAACCTGTTCCCCAACTCGATGTGTACATGACCCTCCTCTAGAGAGAGGTCCCACCCCAGCTGAGGCTGAGGTCTGGCCCAGAGCCCAAACCTTTTAGTCTGCCAAATGCCAGGCCTCCTCCCCTCTGCGAGTTGGATCCCAGGGGTGGGTCTGTGCTCCAGGGTGTGTGGCCAATCTGTGATGTCAGCTTGTTCCAACCCACATTACTCCACTCGGTACATCCAGGGTGGTTCCCACCCACACCTCCTGAGTTACCCTAGCCTTGCTCCAGGCCCAGGATGTCCCAGGTGTGGGCCATGCGGGTGCTGAAGCTGCAGATCGGAGACATCTGCTCCAGGACTAGCCTGGAAATGTGGGAGAACGTGTCAAGAGAGCACAGGCTTGAGGAAGTGGTGAAACCCATTTGCCGTGGCTGGCACTGGGGATAGCCCTTCTGTTTGAGGAGGGCACAGGTGGGTCCTAATAGCCCGTTTGTTGTGATCTTGAGTGCTTCCAAAGCTCTGCTTTTGACATCTTCCTTGCTCTGGGGCTGGGTGGTGTCTGTGTTTCTGGGTGAGGAAACCACAGTTTGGGCAGGTGAAGTGACAAGTGGAAGGGAGTGGAGCTGGCACCAAGACCTTCCCGAGTGCCTATCTGATGTGTAGCCAGGGAGGGAACTGTGAGCTCACCCAACTTCCTGTCACAGGCGGGACTGAAGCCATCGCTGCCCACAACCTGCAGGCTCCCAGGGCAGGCCAGGCACGGTTCTGCCCCATACTTGCCCTTGATGGGGAGCTGTAGTGGTCTCTATTCCACATGCCCTCTTGGCTGGGCTTGGTTGGTAGGCAACAGGGCTGCCAGGCAGCTGTGGTGAAGAGAGGCATGGCTCCAGTGGCCAGCAGCAGGAGCTGACACTTTGCAGCCCAGGGCAGCCTGATGGATGTGAGCACCATCCACCTCCCGGAGTGGTCTGTGGGTAGGTGGGCCCCAGGAGGGAGAGGAGCAGTGGACTGTGCAGACCCCTGTTCCCTGCCATCTGGAAGTGAACTGTTCTCATCCTGTGGGGCCTTTGGGACTCAGCTTAACTCCATAAATCTTTACTTTTCTTCTTCCTCTTTGAAAATAAAATTAGTACGTAAAGTCCATAAATTGTATTTTATTTAATAGAGAAGTTAGAAAATACAGATTCACATGGATCTGTACGTATCCTGCCTTTTTGTTTTGTTTTTTAAAGGTTTATTTGTTTATTTATTTGAAAGGCAGAGGGACTAGCATCGTGGCCCGCAGCGCCGGCATCCCATATGGGTGCTGATTCAAGTCCTGGCTGCTCCACTTCCTATCCAGCTCTCTGCTACAGCCTGGAAAAGCAGTGGAAGATGGACCAAGTCCTTGAGCCCCTACATTCATGTAGGAG